AACGGTCGTTGCTACGTGACGGCGCGGCGGCTTGAACCCGCCTGAACGCATTTCGTTGCCTCCCAACCTCTCACCCCGTGATTGCTCGGCCGGAGGCAAATTAGCGCCGTGAGCGCGCACTTGAGCCGCTTCGAGGTCCTTCCAGTTCACGCCGTGGCCATTCACCGTTCCCGCAGAGGCCCCGGGCGGACGCTCGGCAGGGCTGCTCGTGTCCGTGGCGCGCCGGCGCGGGTACCGGGTTCGTGCCGCGTGCGCTTTGGCACGGTTGTCCCGACACTTCGCTGCACGGGCCGGGAGATTCTTCTGGAAATCGATTGAGCAGCTCACTTTCTTTGCTCTTTCTCCCTCGGGGCGGAGGGGGGGGGGGAGCCAATGGTGAGTGAAAGTAAATAGAGATGTCTTCAGAATTTCTGTCACGTGATAAAGTCTTGCTTCTCTTGGATTTGACCGGCCGGGTTACCTTGTCTGTGTCAGAATCAGAATCGGAATTTGTATTTATCCTCGATAAATCCGATGAGCTATGAATGTGTTTTTCATCGACGTCCAGTAGAATTGGCTTCGCTCCTCATAGACCTTCTCAAGGTAGGGCACGAAGGTGCAGCCCTGCGTTGTCACGTTCTGATCACGTGACAAACCTCACTAGTTGGCTGTGTCTGGTGGTGGCGGGTTTAACGACACATTTACATATTTACGCGATCTAACCCAGGAAGAAAAAAAACTGCAACACGGATGACATTGGTCGCGAAAGCCTACGTGACAAACTACGCGCAACCTGTTGTGCAAATAACTGTGATGTACTTATTTATACTGCTGGCGACTTTATATATGACTACCACCGGTTAACCGGGGTAGACAGTCGTAACGGATTCCGCTCGCACGGTTTCACACTTACGCGCTTGGTTACGCCAACCAAGTCGGCCAAATTCAACCGCAGATAATTCGTCTCGAATGCTACTTTCACATACCTGTCCCACACCACGTGGAAACCACACTTTTTTACACTGTCCCATCAGCCACGCGAGCCTTCTTGCAATGCCCAATGTCAGCAGCGTTGGTTCGACACATGGAAACTCTGGGCCGGTTTCGACATGCAGCGGCTCATCAGCTTGCTTGAACGAATGCTGGTGAACTGCCAGATGTTTAGGCAGAGACCCTATCTACCCTAAACTATGCAGTATAATACATGACACTGAATCATAATTGGCAGAATTGTGATATATATGGAGCAAAACAAAAAAAGCTGCCAGTCCACCTCCTTCACGTGTCTCCCTCCACGGCATTCTTTTACACAAAGGCAAATATCCCCCTTATAGCTTCATCAGACTTTTGGGGCAAGTGCTGTTAGCGATCCCCGATGAAAGCCGGCACGGCACACGAAGGGGATGGGCGGCACCACACCCGGCCGCTTTTGTCTCCCCAGTGGCGACGCTTACACACCAGATACTCATTTGAGGCTGAGTTGACCTACGGGAGGCCCAACACCGGTTCAGATAATCGCCGCTGGTGTTGGCCATGAGCGAGAATCGAACTCGGGTCGCCCGGTTTGTAGCGCAGGGCGCACTAATCACAACATCCCATCATTCACAGAGCCTTCCGTGAGTGCATAGTCGAGGCAGCAATGGTTGTGAGCGCTGTCGTTATTTATTTCGCCTTAACGATGGAATGTAGCGGCATGGACGTTCACAAATGCAATGCCTTGGGATCTTTTTGAGTGACACACAGCAATGCCCCCACACTCGTGAAATGGGATGAAGTTGAAAAACGTTCAATCAAGGCTCAAGCAGACTCCAACATGACCTGACACCCTTAGTCACAGTTGCATGCACACGTGCGGATCGTTGTATGCATCAGTGTTAATATTTTACAAAGCATTTGAAAGCGCCATACATCATTTAACTAAATCTTCCAATTAAGACAGAGTGAGCAGAAGAAGCCTCGGGCTGTTGCAAACCTACAAAGTCCAAGTTCGATCTTCAGGCTGTCATCATCGTGATTATCAGCATGATAAGCCGTGTTCAATCCACTGCTGGATGAAAATGTCTCCCCAAGCTGCTGCATCTTTCACCATCATCCTGCGATGTAATCAATCCTCAGGCTTTAGACATCTCCATGTGGTGCACGGTCTAGTCCTGGGCACCCCCCTTCATCAACCCGCATTGACCGGCATGGTGAAATATGGTCAAACAACGCCCGAGGCTGGCAGGGTTTGGGAAGGACTTCAAACAGCAGTGACAAAGATTTTTTTATTTCTTTTTTATCAGATAAGGCCCACTGAGTTATATCGCTCTTTTTCTTCAGAAGCGACTTGGCCACAAATGATAGCTTATCATGTGGAAATGTATAGCCGCTAACTACTTTATTCGCATGTTCATTCTAAATGTGGAGGGAAAACCCAGAGGACCTGGAGAAAAATCCATCGTGACCACGGGGACAACATGCAAATTCCAAATATACAGGTGTCAGGGTTGGGATCGAGGCCACGGCCTCCTGCATACCAGGAGAGGGAGTTAACATCTCGCCACGGCGGCTCCCCAAGTCACGCAACTCAATGGAACAGACGACAGCATAACTGTTGTCTGTGACCCTATTAACCGCGACTACAATTTTTGTTCACAGATAATTGCAAATTCCTCCAATGATGCTTGATTACGCACAAAATATTCGCCGCAGATAAGTGAAATAAATTATAGGGATAAATCCCACGAGTAATAAGATCCATGATATTGGCCCGATGACATGAGGAGTTCTGTATATGAAAAAACTGAGGATTTTGTCTTTTCCCATCTTAATTTAAACATCCCAATTGTTTCTTCTTCCGTCCCACGGCTCTTCACTCCTTCCCAACCCTCCTCTACCCTTTCGTGACCCCTAAGTGCCCCTCGATTGCGGTCACTCATTCCTCAACCCTTGCACGAACCTGTCATCTAAATCATTCCATTTTGTCCCATTTTTTCTGAACTACGCAAAAGGCCTTGAGTGAAGGCGCCCTATAAATATAACATAAGACAAAGAAATTTATTTTTTGTTGTTGCCAAGAAAACTCGCCAATACTTGCAGCCGGACGACGGTACAGAGCTCCCACTTTTAGACGCCGATTCTTTCGGCAAAGCAGAGCAAACGTACAATTTCATCAAAGGCACAGTGCAAATCAAAAAATAAATATTTTGCTGCCAATTTAATGGGACCTTGATTTTTTCCGTGCGTACAGCCAGGCGAGGACGCCACCGCGATGGGTGTCGCTGATTAATGTCGCGGTGAATGTCTCGTGCGTCGTGCCACAGCGGTGCAGGAAGCCTGGAAACAAGGCCCAATTTCATTGCTGCTCTGAAGTCCGTGCAACAGAAGCTGAATTCTTATTATGACGATGACATAAAATATGACCGCGCGGTGGATTTCTACACGTTGCACATGTGCGGTGCGATGGGATAACCTCGTGGTCGGCAGAATTGCCTCCGAGCCAGTTTGCACGGGTCGATGGTCATGTACCTACAGTCGAATGTTTTCTTGCCGAGAACGCCATCAGCCGTGAAATGTAATACGGTATCCATTTAGTCACACCGAGTTGAGTCCCAATATTTCCTCTTGTAAACGGTCATGATTTACAAAGCTAATCATTCCCCTTTATAAAAATGTGGCAATTTTTTATTTCTCTTTGAAAATCGGCACACGGTTAAAGGGTTTAAAGCATCGGCAGCCTGCCATTTAAATCATAAGATTCGTACAAACTGTGACCCTTGCATAACTGTGTTTTAAAAGATGATTCGAGTAAAACTATAAAGACAAATAATAAAGTAACTTTATCGTCGGTGACTGCTTTTGCTCAACACGTCAAATTTGTCTCTTCGTTATACACGATGCCCTTTGAAATGGTGAAGCATCCCATTGTTGTTTACAACTGCAGCCCTTTCTAATCACAGTCATTCACCAAAACATGTGACAGGTTATGTTTTACTCACGAGCCCCAATACTGGGAGACAGCCAAATGTAATCTGTTAATTTGTGGTTCCGTGATTTTGCCTTGCTGTATTTAACAATAATAATTACATTTGTGAAGTGCCTTTCATCCAGGATCTAATAGCTGAGTTGTACTTACTGCCTCTTTGTTCATTCATCATCAGTTTGGGGCAGTTTGTATTCAACGGGAGGCGATGACAAGACTGAGATTACTATGCCATGCACAGTAATACAGAGCGTAGGATCACACACACGAAGCACTGTAACCAATAATACTGGCAAAGTCAGTGAAGCCACTGATAGTGTAACGTGGCATTTCTGCTATGGATCTGTTTGTATGTTAAACTTCTTTTGCACCATACGTAGCCAACCATGCTAATCGGAAGTGCGGATCTACATTCATGCATGGTGCATCGGTGGTGCTGCGCTGGCAAATCATCAGATGCCCGCTTTAGGGCAAAGGTCCAACACCATCTGCGTGTTCTCAGAAACGAAATAGTGACCTGGGCTCACGGAATAAATGGTTAGCTTGTTTTTGGCATATCACTGACAGCTTTTGAGGTGTAGTAGATGTGTATGTAAACACTGTTTATCGCTTACCCTGTTTGCAGGAAGCCCTGGTGTGGGTTTCATATGAATACACTGTTGCTTTTTGTTGTTGTTACTGTCATTGGTTTGCACATATCTCTCCCTGCAAAGTCCTGTCGCTTCCCACCACTCCTCACGGTCTTAGGCTGTGGCCTGTGTCTCTGTGTAACTCTATGTGGTCTCTCTGTAACTCTATACGTTACTCTATGCAACCCCATAGCTCTCTCTATGTAATGCTATCTCACTGCAATGTCCTGTAACTGCCGCCATAGCTCATTGGATTCCTCCTGCAGTCTGACGAAAGATTATGACTATTTTGTCCTTTAGAACGACCGACTCAAAGCGTCGAAAATGTGGCCATCCCAACAATGGGCGGCGGTGAAACAAAGATCCGGTGATGTGGGCTTAGCAATGAACGCAATGACCGTGGCTTCTGCTTTGTTTTTTTGGTTCCGCAGACGAAGCAGTTCTTTAGTGATCATGTACGAGGTGGGATCAGAAACTACTACGACGACCTGGATTTTAAGAACCTCATGGATTACGTGCAGGAGGAGGTACGTTTGGTGACTGCCGCGGGGGCCGACGAATGGGGTTAAAACGAGTTGGGATGCATTTCTGCGCACTCCCTTTTCGAAACGCTCGCTGATGTGCGCGTAGAGCAGAAGAGGAATTTGCCGACTGAAATATTAAAAGGGGAATCGGCCAGACGTGTTTTAGCTGTGGGCTATTACACGGTGCGTCCTTACTGAATAATAGCAACGATGTTATTTATTTATCCAGAAAGGCATCAGAGTCCAAGAGTCTTCTATTGATACCACCGCGGTTACTCTTCCCGTGAACGTCACATCGGTGAATCCTCCAACCCGTGCTGAGAATGCGGTCTACCAGACACTGACTGTTTTGTCTCATCTACACTGTGTTCAACCACCACCACACTCACTCACCCACCCACTCACTCACTCACCACACTGCAGGTCACAACTACACACTCACCCACTCACCCGCTCACCACACTGCAGGTCACAACAACACACTCACTCACTCACCCGCTCACTCACCACACTGCAGGTCACAACCACACACTCACCCACTCACCCGCTCACTCACCACACTGCAGGTCACAACCACACACTCACCCACTCACCCGCTCACTCACCACACTGCAGGTCACAACCACACACTCACCCACTCACCTGCTCACTCACCACACTGCAGGTCACAACCACACACTCACCCACTCACCCGCTCACTCACCACACTGCAGGTCACAACAACACACTCACCAACTCACCCACTCACTCACCACACTGCAGGTCACAACCACACACTCACCCACTCACCCGCTCACTCACCACACTGCAGGTCACAACAACACACTCACCAACTCACCCACTCACTCACCACACTGCAGGTCAAAACAACACACTCACCAACTCACCCACTCACTCACCACGCTGCAGGTCACAACCACATACTAACCCACTCACCCGCTCACTCACCACACTGCAGGTCACAACAACACACTCACCCACTCACCCGCTCACTCACCACGCTGCAGGTCACAACACACTCACCCACTCACCCGCTCACTCACCACATTGTAGGTCACAACAACACACTCACTCACTCATCACACTGCAGGTCACAACAACACACCCACTCACTCACTCATCACACTGCAGGTCACAACAACACACTCACCCACTCAGCCGCTCACTCACCACACTGCAGGTCACAACACACTCACCCACTCACCCGCTCACTCACCACTCTGCAGGTCACAACAACACACTCACCCACTCACTCACTCACTACTCTGCAGGTCACAACAAAACATTCACCCACTCACCCGCTCACTCACCACACTGCAGGTCACAACCACACACTCACCCACTCACCACACTGCAGGTAAACAAAACACACTCACTCACCCACTTACCACTGCAGGTCACAACAACACACTCACCCACTCAGCCGCTCACTCACCCACTCACTCACCACGCTGCAGGTCACAACCACACACTCACCCACTCACCACACTGCAGGTAAACAAAACACACTCACTCACCCACTTACCACTGCAGGTCACAACAACACACACCCACTCACTCACCTGCTCACTGAACACACTGCAGGCGACAAAGCCTTTGCTGTTGTCGCACCAACGTTTTGGAACAACCTAGTTTCCTCCCTTAATACCATAAATCTTCCTTCAAAATACAATCTGAAGCAGAATATTCGTGCCGGATACAACCACATTTTTCCACTGTGATTTGGAACGTTTATCCTTACCCCTGTGTCCATAGTTACATTTGAATGTGCAATTTTATTGCGTAACCGTGTGTCATTGTCCTGGTGTGGTCTGGAACAGATTTTGTTTTATTTTGCTACTTTGCCCAAGATTGCATTTGGTGTTGAAAAATCGACAGAAATAGATGTACTTATGCAATGTATCTTTATATATTTAATTTATTTGTCTTTATATTTAGTGACTTGCTGAGCTTGCTACCGTGCGTTTGTATTGTTTGTGACTTTCTGACCTGCCCCTACTGAACATTTGTGAAAAATAAGAGCTTCATAGCTGATCGGATTCTACCGATCTAAATAAAGATTCTGATTCTGACGTCACGAACAGATTGCACTTCGCCACATTCACAATTGGCCCACTCCACTGGGTCAAAAGATCAGGGTCACTGTAGCTGTGTGATAATTATCTGGGGCATTATCAAACACTTAGTGGTTGGTAGCCCATCTTGATGACTTAAAATTGTAATCATATGCATTGCCTCGTAACCTATTCGAGGTTATTAATCCATACGAAAGACCAAGCAGACGTAATCGAGATTCGAGAAAATACTAATTTAGCGTTGCTTAGAGTTTTGTTATTGATGTGTTTTGTTTGAAACTGAAAGCCATTTAAAAAAAAATAAGTCGTTGAAAAAAATTATCATTAACGCCAAACTGAAACTGAAAGACTGGGAAAATTGCAATCTAGAAATGGGATTTTGTAATCGAATCATAAGTAAGTTACGTGGCTGTCACTATACTTTGATTGATATGATCCACAGGAACATTTCACGGTAAATGCCTCATTTTGGGTCAAATGCCACAACTATATTTTGCTATGCCAGACATTCAAGGGCATCCGGGATAGACTCCATTGTTTTGCGATTTCGCGTACATAGAAAGGGTTATGTTAAGCTTGTAAAAAAAAAATTTGACATTGAGATAAAATATAGCAATCATTTGCAGTCCTTTCTCAATTCACCACTAGAAAAATGCCCTTGTGTGCCATGTTGGTCGTTGGTTGACCATACCTCACCGATGATTAATGAACACGGAGTATCACTAATAGGGTTTTCCCCCTTTTTTCTGGCAACAAAACTTGACACCTTTTGCAAGGAATCATGTTTGCATTAACCACAATACTTGCAGTCAAATGCAAACAAAAAACAATACTCTGATCATGTATGCATTGTCCTTGAAACTGATTGGTCCACACCGGAGACAGCTTTTCTTAGACCCTAGTCTCATATGGTGTTCGACCAGATGACGCCAAAAGGCGCACAGTTCAAAGACAACGCACCATCAGAGTAATGAGAGCTCGGGTTGAGCAGTTTTGTTGCCAGAAAAAAGGGGAAAATCCCTATTAGTATATTTTGGTACTGGCAAATGAGGCCCCATGATGACACGGAGTATCACTACATTTGAACTCTTTTGCATGTTGCGATAGCAATACACCGAGTTAATTCCACGTGCATTGCTTGCTCAAGAAGGTACCAGCGTAACTGGAATCATGGTAACTGGCGGTCCGTAAATTGACCACAGTCCTTTGTCAATCGACTGCTGGATGAAGGACTCCTTATGCCATATTAGTTATGGGGGTTGTGTGACCATACTTCGCCAAGCTGGTCACTGTGGGTTGGCTGAGAGGGTGGGCGGGGGAGGTTACTCGTGACTGGATCAGATATCACTCGCTGCCGATGTTAGCCATGGTCAAGAATAAAACTTAACTTTCTCGCAGTGTGATGACCACTGCACCACTGCTCCCCACAATATTTAAATATTTGGATCACATACAGAGAGTTTTACGTGGTATTATGATTGCACTATTCCCACTAACCTTTCTATGCTGATACAAATGTGAACTTCTGGCATTAATGTGTTTTTATTAATCTCTACCGTATATAACTTAGACTTGTAAACACCATAATACAACTGCATAGTTTTTCACAGTTGCGCTGTGAAGCTCTCCGATGAGTTTTCGAATTGTACTCCGTGTTGTTCGGCATCATGGTCCTGAAGAACCTCCCAGCGCGACGGAACGAAACGTCGGACATCGTGCCGAACGACACGCGGCTCAACCCCCGAACACACATCGGCGAGCTGTGAATCCTCCTGTCGAATACGCGGAGCGTTGTGCAGACACTGTACTCTATGCCTCTTGTGCCCCTATTTTCTCCGCAGTGTAGCCCGGCGCTGTCGCAGCTCACTTCCGTTGTTGCGTTGGCCCTCTTGCGTTGCCCGCTGCGTTGCGCTCGCCCAATCGCAAGATTACCTCTCGTGGTTTCCGTTGAGCGTTCGCGCAGAGCGGTGCCCCCGAGCCGGCGTGTGAGTTTGCGACGTGGCAACAACGGGAGTCGTACCGACGTCGAACCTTCACGATGCGCAAATCGGTGCTCGCGCTGGCAAATTTCAATTACTCTGGAGTAATCGACTTTGAGGGACGCTCGCCACAGCGGCGTAATGGTTGGCATATCGGGCTTGCAATCCAGAGGTTCGCCAATTCGATTCCATTCCACGGCACGGCAGTTGAAACGGTGGAGCGAGATAATTCCCCCCATTCACCGCCTCCGTCCGTCCAGTGGTATGATTGGGTACGCCATAGTCGATGGGTAGGTGGGGATAAAGTGTGAGTTCCATCACAGTACTAGGAGAGCTGGCATTGGCTTCAGGAGTCTCTCATCCAGCAATGGATAGTCGAGGCGAATGATGTTCAGAGGACTGAGGTATCTCCATGGGGAACAGCAATGGCTTGATAATTACAGTTGGCATCTTGGCTTGCTGGGGCCAGATAGAGCTCCCTTTCTTTTCTTCCCATGTCGGATGAAGCCACTGTTGATGCAGATCAAAAGCACTTGAACTTTTCTTTGAAACCGGTGTGCGCATGTGACCGTGGAGACTTGCTGAAAACTAACGCAAGTTTAGAAGATGTCACTTTTGGAAGCCCTGTAGGCCTCATAAAATTAACAATTGTACGCGGTCTATAAATTAGTCATGTTTATTTTTTTAATATTCAGAGATTGTATATAAATATACGGTACTGTACCTCACCTCCAATGCATAATTAATTATGCTTAAGTGTACCTTATAAACAACTGTGCAGCCCAAACCTACCCATTGATTTGTAACAACAGAGCAACCCCTACAAGCCATTCGTGCAACTTTAGAGGAGAGGATGGCCAAAGGAGGCGAGGCGCCTGAGAGGACATCCGTCACAGAGATGGAGTGATGAATTCGCGCCCGTGTGCATGTAGCTGGATGGGGGGGTATT